TTTTTTTTTCCTATTGCAGGCAAATTATCATAATGAATGTAATTTTCTTACTACTTTTTATTGCTACTCTTGTTTCAACAGAAGAAGACCTATCAGTGCATCAAGTGCCAGATGACCTTTGAGAATGAAAGAGAGATACAGATCCATGTTGCAAATCACATGATAGGTAAGAATACTTTCATTCTTTCACAGAAATTCTTTCCTTCTTCTTCCTTGGACTTTTCTACTCAGTGTCGTTCTCCGTACCTGGCTTCAATAAATGCAGGTGGATGAGGAGCTGACTCACAGGGACCTCTGAGGTGCCGTTGTATCAGTGTGGATATATGTGTGGATCAGGAGTACTCAGAGTTAATTTTCTCATCAATCTTGGGCAAAGGAAACAGTTGGTGCACTTCTCCAAGCCATGTTGTTTGTTAAGAATAATCCTGAAGATAAAAATAGTTTTAATTAGAGAGATGTGGACTGTTGCTGGGTTGAGTGTGAACGTCTCGATTTCCTTTCTAGGTTGAATACAGATGTAATGCCAAGCCATGGTCTGTTCTATGGCTGAAACCCGTGCAGTAGAGAAACAATAGTTTCAAGTTATTTATCTGCTCTTTATTCTAGCTTTTGATTTTATATTGGTCTTTGATGTATGCCAAATGTCACATTTCATCATGTTTCCATCTATATTCACCTTTTGAGGCATAGTAACGGTCCTAATTGTGTTTTCTTAGTGGTATAACAGCTAACCACTGTTTACACAAACCATGGTTCTCTTAGTTTGTGAGTAGGTTTTGGATCTGAAAAATGAAACATTTTTTCTGTGTATCTCTGACTGTGGTCTTTGTAGTGCCATTGGATTGCTGGTCTATGGAAAAGGTTAAATTTCCCCAGAATCTGGGTTGTTGCAGGTTTTTCGGGCTATATGGTTATGTTTTAGAAGCATTATCTCCTGATGTTTTGCCTTCATCTATGACAAGCATCCTCAGAGGTTGTGAGGTCTGTTGGAGCTAGGAAATTGGGTTTATATATCTGTGCAATGTCCAGGGTGGGAGCAAGAACTCTTGTCTGTTGGAGCGAGGTGTGAATGTTTCAACTGGCCACCTTGATTTGCTGGCCTGGCAGTTTTTTGGTGTGGCTTGTTAGTGCCCGGGGGAATCTTTTGTTGAGAGGTGATTAGCTGTCCCTGATTGTTTCCTCTCTGGAGTTTCCCTGTGTTTGAGTGTTGTTTTGCTGTTATAATTTTAGACCTCACAACCTCTGAGGATGCTTGCCATAGATGCAGGCGAAACATCAGGAGAGAATGCTTCTAGAACATGGTCATATAGCCCGGGAAACCTACAATAACCCAGTGATTCCAGCCACGAAAGCCTTCGACAATACATTGCCCCAGAATCCATACTGAGATCGAGAATGGCATGATTGTACAGCAGAGTCTCGCTTATCTAACATCAACGGGCCAACAGAATGTTGAATAAGTGAAAATGTTGGATAATAAGGAGGGATTAAGGAAAAGCCTATTAGAATCATAGAATCAAAGAGTTGGAAGAGACCTCATGGGCCATCCAGTCCAACCCCCTGCCAAGAAGCAGGAATATTGCATTCAAATCACCCCTGACAGATGGCCATCCAGCCCCTGTTTAAAAGCTTCCAAAGAAGGAGCCTCCACCACACTCCGGGGCAGAGAGTTCCACTGCTGAACGGCTCTCACAGTCAGGAAGTTCTTCCTCATGTTCAGATGGAATCTCCTCTCTTGTAGTTTGAAGCCATTGTTTCGTGTCCTAGTCTCCAGGGAAGCAGAAAACAAGCTTGCTCCCTCCTCCCTGTGGCTTCCTCTCACATATTTATACATGGCTATCATATCTCCTCTCAGCCTTCTCTTCTTCAGGCTAAACATGCCCAGCTCCTTAAGCCGCTCCTCATCGGGCTTGTTCTCCAGACCCTTGATCATTTTAGTCGCCCTCCTCTGGACACATTCCAGCTTGTCTATATCTCTCTTGAATTGTGGTGCCCAGAATTGGACACAATAAAACGTCAAGTTACGTTATTAAACGTCAAGTTACGTTATGATTTTACAAATGAAGCACCAAAACATCATATTTTACAACAAATTGAGAGAGAGAAAAACAGTTCAGTACAGATTCGAATCCAACCTGGGGAGAGTGCGGATGAGCTCCCTTTATCAGCTCCAGCTCAATGAGGGGACACGAGAGAAGCCTCCCACAAGGATGGCAAATTCATTTATTTATTTCCTATATTTATACCGGGGGGGGGGGGGGGGGGGGCTCAGGGTGGCTTCATAACAAGCGCCATACAGTGCCATCATGACCATAAGTATTTCAATAAATACTTATGGTTATAAGTATGTATTGAAATACTTATAACCATAAGTAAATAACCATAAGTATTTCAATAAATACTTATGTTTTAAATACATTAAAACATTAAAACAGTTAATTAAAACAATCGATTAAACATGCCAGTTAAAAACCAAATCCAAGTCTGGGACCATTTATTGTCATACATTGCCTGAGTCTTCTTTCCACTTGCTGCTGGTCAATAGTTGAGCGCCTGGTCCCATAACCACATTTAAGTTTCCTTCTGAAAAACAGGAGGGAGGTGGCCAGTCTGATGTCCCTGGCGAGGGAATTCCACAGACGGGGGCCACTGCTGAGAAGGCCCTGTCCCTTGTCCTCACCAATCGCGTTTGCGATGGTGGTGGGATTGAGAGCAAGGCTTCTCCAGATGATCTTAAACTTTGTGATGGTTCCTAACAGGAGATACGTTTGGACAGGTAATCTGTAAAAACATTTTAAAACGCATCTAGGCGTCCCCTGGGCAACGTCCCTGCAGGGGGCCAATTCTCTCACACCAGATGCGACTTGCAGTTTCTCAAGTCACTCCTGACATAGAATCATAGAATCAAAGAGTTGGAAGAGACCTCATGGGCCATCCAGTCCAACCCCCTGCCAAGAAGCAGGAATATTGCATTCAAATCACCCCTGACAGATGGCCATCCAGCCTCTGTTTAAAAGCTGCCAAAGAAGGAGCCTCCACCACACTCCGGGGCAGAGAGTTCCACTGCTGAACGGCTCTCACAGTCAGGAAGTTCTTCCTCATGTTCAGATGGAATCTCCTTTCTTGTAGTTTGAAGCCATTGTTCCGCGTCCAAGTCTCCAGGGAAGCAGAAAACAAGCTTGCTCCCTCCTCCCTGTGGCTTCCTCTCACATGAAAAAACAAAACAAAACAAACTGCATTTACAAATTTCGCACCAAAACATTGCAATGTATTGAAAGAGCTGTGGATCCGGGCGGGAGGCAGACTGCATTGGATAATACAGAACGTTTGATGTGTGAAGGTTGGATAAGCAAGACTTTACTGTATCTTCTTCATGAGCTTTTGTTTCTTGGAGTTCTCGGAAATGAAACATTTGGTGCAAGCTCTTGCTACTTTCCATATTATCTCCCCCTGATCTTAAATTTGGACACTTGGGAGGTATGTTTCAAACACTCGTCTCGCTCACCTTGGGGAGGCTTCCGCTAAGAGTGAATAAGAACCTCCTGGTTTAAAAGACGCAATTGTCTCCATTTGGAAAGCCGCTTAAAATGCCTTAATGCAGCCTTGTCCCTTTCCCATCCCACGTACGTTAAAGTGAAACTTTTGACAA